TGATATATCCTATATTTTACCACTTTTACTATCTATGTTACTATGTTTTTATATACTTTAATAAAGCCTTTCGACCAAAACAAGTAGTTTTCTCGTATAAATAGATTTTAAGATCTTAATAGGTTTAATCATCAAAAGGATGAAAAAATGAGCAAAATGAGTGTTATCTATGATACAGCTACTTATTCAAGTCAAAAGAGTCAAGCCAAGTCATTATATCTTGAAGATAAAGCATATTCTCAAGTTGGATAGAACATATACGCCAGAAGTTCATCGATAAACGGAGGACCAAATCAACTTGGAATCTAATGAAACTTGGTGGGAAGATAGCCCTTTGAGTTAGCTTGCCAATAAATTTATAACGAGACCATTTGGAGATGTACTTTAAAAGATACACTGGAAACACTGAATACATGTCAAACTGCCTTAGAAGTGAAGCATGTGCAGAAATGAGCCAAGCACCGGGCCGCTCCATGGGCCGATGATCCAGGCCATTTCCGACATTTTAGAAGCCTCAAGGACGACCTCAACACCGGTCACGCAGCCCGACCGTTGCTTGGACCGGTGGTTGAGCAGTTTCGACGTAAAAGACTTTTTTGCCCGAAGATAACCCTAGCCGACTTAAGACCTCTTAAACCCCTATATATACTTGCTTTTAGCCTATCTAGGAAGTAAGAGTAGTCAGCCAAACAGCCTAAAGTAATACCTAAACATGTATTTCGTTTATCTCTTGTTCTTAATGCATCTTTAATTCTAAAAGCCTTTAAGAGTAGTTTGACTTTGCCCTATTGCAAAGAGATGAGATCTAATCTCTTACGCTTTATAGATAAACAATTTATACTACGTTTATTTGCTTTACTCTTGCTGCTCCTTGTTGCAAAACATGTAGAGTATTAGCCTTGATTTAATTTCTATGCACTTTCTTATTTCTATGTTATCACATAATTGAACGTTTAAGGTTTTATTCTAGAATTGATTCTTCATCTCTATTTACGCTCAAAGCATTATATGGCTTAGCTACCCAGTGACTGATATTAGGTTGATATACTCTCCAAAAGCTTGTTATATCTCCGGACCTAGTATTTGATGAGCTAAGCGTCTTAACAATTTGATAGGTTAGTTAAGGAGTTTAGTGAACAATCGAATCTTACACTTTACGCGTGTCTTCACCTTGTAATAACCATACGATAGTTGAGTCTATTAGGGAAGAAGAAATAGAAGTTTGATCCACGACAGTGGTATGATTTTACCTTAGTGATTTGAGTTCTAGAACAATTAGTATTAAAAACCCTAAATCGTTTACTTGTGTCTTGCATATGTCTTGAGAATTGTTTGATCTTTTATCTTGATTGAACTATCTATCATTTACTTTATTGCTTTGTTATTTGCTTCAATAAACCCTAAAAACCAAAAAATATATTCATCTAGCTTAATTCGCATCATATAGATTTGTAGCGCATCATCACTTAGTCCTCAGTGGATCGACCCCTAAGTACTACAATCGTCAACTGTGCACTTGTAGTCTCCTAGGGTTATAAATTTAAAACTTGCATATGCATCTCTAAAACCTTGCACATCAGTTTCATCAGTCAATAGTAAACTATCGACTGTCGAGTTTTAGATTTTTTTTTTTGTTCACTGATTCACCATATCCAAGGAAACGGGTTGGCAGATTAAACTTCTTTTTTTTTCGAACCATATGTTCTGTATGGAAAGTTGCTTAAAAATCTTCCAAAATGACACAAACACTTTAAACCTTGAAAGTATTTAACTATCATTTTAAACCTTGAACCACAACTATTTACATAATAAACCACTAGATCATTATGTAGGTCTACTTCTGGGGCTTGGTGGCACAAACAAAAAATCCACTAGAATAGAAAAGAATACACCAAGATCTAGTTCAAGATAACTCAACAACGCATTAAGAACTCTTTCTAGATCTTTATTCTCTCTTACTCTCTCTCTAGTATTTCTGTTTATCTCTTTCAGGTCTAAAAACCTTATGATCGAACAACATAAACTCTTCCTCTTCTTCACTTATATAGAAGAAGCCTCTACACCCTGAAATAATAAGATCCAATAACCAACCCTAATTATCTCTAATTAATTCATGCATCTATAGAACACTAACCACTTTCGGTTCAGTTCTACCAAATGAGTTTAAGATGTCATATCGGATCAACAATAGTCTTTTGTTTTTAAGTCCGCGCACATGGTGAATCAATCTTCAAATTCATATTAAATATAGACCAACCAAAGTGCTCAAGTGTAGCACTATTTTTATCTTCTCTATCCACACACAAAACTCAAATCTCTCCTCACACTACATTT